CGGCCGTCCGGACGAAGAGTTTCGTGAAAACAAAGCGATTTGCAGTTAATGCGTTGACTGGCAAATAAACATTTGTCAAAATTCCTATGTAGTCGGGGCAGTTCTCTTAACCAGTTAACTGTGTTCGACAAGTGTACACGTCATCTTAAAACGCAAAATGGCACGAATCCTTTCAATGATCAATTATTCATTTTTTTCAGATGAACGCGTAATTCTTCTTCGTTTCGCTGTAGTTTTTCGTTAGAATATGTTATAGATACATTTGCCCTGCGTTCGGTGAGTATACAGTTTATTATTTGATTTTCTTGCGTGCACAATGAGAGATTTTTCAAACTAAATACCACAGTTAACTGGTTAACACTAGATTTATGTTAATTCTTGTTCCTAGGAAACTGCATGGTCGTTCATGTAGATCGCCGAACTATAACTTCAAAACTAGAGAACTGCAACGCGTAATAGTCTAACTGCACGAATCGAAATCAACTTAAACTGTTACCAAATAATGTTTAGAAAATACAATATCTGTGAAATTTTAAGATTCTTCGTGATGACTGCTCTGCTGTGTTTATTATATCTCATATGTCCAAAATTCGGATCAATCGATATGTTACCAAGTAAATTAATGCTTAAGTATATGAAAAAATGGTGTCAGAACTTTTTGTAAATAATTTGTATATTGATGAGAAAAATAATGACATTTGATATTCTTTCTGTATTTACATTTGCCACAAAGTGTATAGATCACTGAGAAATGGTACTTTTTCATTTTGATCATTTGAAATTGATACAAAAATTGTCTGCCTTTGATAAGTTCGTTTCTATGACTTCTGAAATATTTTGGTAAAATGTATTTTTCTCGAAAATTGTTGCTGCTCTATAGTTCACGAATTCCGAAAAACGAAGAATCTTGGTTTCATAAATTGTTTAATAAAAACCGGATTTTGTTGGACATGAGACAGAAAAACCAAGAGTGCAATTGTTACGAAAAATTATGAATTTGAACTTAGAACCAGTACGACTAGTTCATTATTTCCTTATCTTCCTCGTAAATACTCGAAATAAACTTCACAAAATTATAAATCTCAAAGAAATTCGGTTCACCGAATAGACCACTAACTAACTTGACAATTAACTTCAAATCTAGTAAAAAGGTCAAGTGGTTTCGACCTACGAAAAATAAATTTGATATTCGTTGTTATTCGTTTTCATGTTTTCCCGAAACGTTTCGCGATCCCAGACGGCCGTTCGATCGGGATCATCTCGCGATCGGCGCCGTCCCCGTAAGAGAATCACGAAAAAATCGTTCGGTCCGTGGACTCGTCCCGAGAGGGAGATTCGCTGTGACATAACCAAAAAACGGCAGCATGTTAGCCACACCACATCGAGAAAAAGAAAAAACCAAAAAGAAAAGGTACGTGTGTGTGCTCTTTCGCGCTTGCTCAGACGCGTGTGTGTTACACCTGTGTATTTATAAACGTACGAATATATAGACATATATACAGGGTGTTGAAATAGTAAAGGGTTCGATGCTGGAAAGGCTTACAGCTACTTACTATGAGAAGGGAAAATTTGTCTGATCGACCTTGATGCTAAAAGCGATGCTTTCAATGGAGAATTTACTTTCGTTGTTCGTTAGCGTTTGATTTTTATAATGAATATAGGAATATAAAATATAATAAATATTGAATGTACAATTAAAAGAAAAACACAAGAAAGTTCGAAGCAACAATTCGTTTTCAATCATCAATGATTATTTGATAAATATGATATAAATCTTCATTAATTTATCAATGATTTAGTAATTTCCTTTTTCTAACGTAACAAATAGAAAATAATAAAAGTTGACTTTTTCATTGAAATAATTGCTTTTAAGAGACGTATCGATCATTTTCTACTTCTCTCGGTGAGCACTGTAAGCTCTTCGAGTATGGAAACCTTTTTTTAACATCCTGTATATCTAGACAGAGAGAAGAAAGTAGATATATATAAAATCTGTAGATGGACCGTTTGTTCCGAAAGTGCTGTAAATCTGTTTCTCGAAAAAACTCAAAAGACAGAAAGTTACATACGCATTCGCATGATTTCTCGAAGATTCAAAAAGATCTCAGGAAGATTTCATTAAATTGAAATTTCGCTTACAAATGAAACTGTATAATCATTCATTTCGAGCCTGCAAGATAACGGTCCACTTGATTTAAAAAAAAAAAATTATTTCAGTAATAAAATTACTTCTATTCATTTCTATAATGAATGTTTGAAGTACTGAACTTTTTTATTCGAATCTTCAAAGTGAAAACAATCAGTTTTACTCCTCTTTCAAAATAAATGGTCCACATACGAAAGAAGTGTGTGTTGCGCACCCTGTATACACGGTTACTCGTAAAAATTATCCACCGACTTATACATTTCGCGTATTCAACTAACATAAAAATTGGACTTGACGTCTTCAGTTCGCATGTATTAAATAAAAGTACATTTAACAAAAAAATCACTTAATTATCAAGTAGCTTTATGGTTCAAAATCAAAAATCCACTGAAAAATTTATTAAAAATTGTGGATAATTTAAATTACAGGTAGTTCACTGAAAAGTCCGTTACTTAATTTCATGAAATACATCGTACATATAGATAGATGGATACTTTCGCGAGTAACGGTAAATCGACGTTGAAACGAGTGTGTGGGGGTGTGTGTGTGGTGCTGTTCACGCTCGACGTTCCCGCGGGTGCCACTCAAAAAACACATGGGTGAGGCAAAAATACAAAAAACTTGGTCTCACGATCATCGGTGTGTGTGTATGTTTGTTTATTTGTTTGTTTGTTTGTTTGTTTGTTTGCTTGTTTGTTTGTATGCATGTATGTATGTATGTATGTATGTATGCATATGTGTGTGTGTGTCGGTGTCCATGTGTGAGTGTTTGTCTCCCTCTCGTTAAACACTCAGCTCTCGAGGACAAAAACGAAAAAAAAAGAAACATAAACGTGGTGGTGTTCCTCGACGTTTCGATCGACGGAACTGTAAAGCGAAAGACGACCGCCACCGAAAGCTCGACGGGGGGAACGGGGTTGAAACAAAGAAAATTTTTCGGGAGGAACGCGATTCGAGACCTCGCGTTCTCGACGGCTCAATTGCTTCACTATCGAATTAATTGTTTTTCATATCAGTTGCTTCACTGGTGAATTTCATAAAAAGTTCATTTAATTATTGAATGCCGCGAGTTTTTATGTGCATTCAAGTTTTTAAGAATGCGATTGGAAAAGTAGAATAGCGATACAAAATGGTTTTCCTTAAGGGATGTTATAAGGTTAACACTTTCGATAAATGTATAAATATCGTATAAATATTTACTTTTTGATGCGGTAAATTTATAATTGTAAATACGTGTCTACTACTGTCATTTGAAAAGTTACTCTATAAAATTTTTCATATTTCAACGTTTGAAATTGTCCGAGACGTAATGTTAGCATTTTTGAGAAATCCGTTGAACCGTCCAGACATTGGAAGACCGTCGACAACGCGAGATTCGAATCTCAAAAGAAAAAGAAGTTACGGAACGTCAAAGAATCTCAAAAGTGAAACAAGGAAACAGAAAGAAACTCGAAAATGATCGTAGAAGAATTACGGGACGCGGTCGTGTTCCAACGGACACGTGTTCAAATCGATTTCGACCAAAAACTGAAAAATTCATTTTGTCTAATTCATCTGTTAAATTATTTTATCGAAATGATGAAAAGAAATAAAATACAGTAGAACAGCCTATAACGCGACAGGTATGTTCCATGTAACAAGGATATCACATATTATTTAATTATTATTTGAATACTATTTAAAATTTATAAAATTATTATTTTTCACTAGTTTTTCCATCGCGTTACACCAGGTCCTACTGTGTCTATAAAAATTTCAAATCTTCCAAAATTCCGCGTCCGGGAACCCGACCGCACAAAATAAAAGAAAATGCAAACCTAGCGCCACAGAAGAAAATACGGTAAGTTGGATAGAGATGGTTCACATTTTCAAAAGTACCATTGTTCCATAATAGAAACAGAAATATATTTATAAAACTGAACGCGTATAAGAATAATAGTTAAATAGATGTCCATAGAAGATTCGATATAGAGGACAACTTTCATCAAGGAACAATGCAACTCATCGTACATTAACACTAAAACTACCAGAAGGGTCAAAATGACTCATTCCTGATGTCTTTTTTTAACAATTATTAAAAAGATTACAGATGTTTCTCTGGAAAATAATTAAAAAAATTGATTTGGCAATACGCAAACTGAAAGATAAATCCATTAACTCCTTGCCTTATAACGTGTCAGACACGCGTTGAAAATTTCAAACCAAATTCGACAAATTTAAGTGTTACTTATTAACTTCTAACATAAATTACGTGTTACTTGTCTATTATTAATCTCTAACCATTAGAGTAAACATAAACACAAAATTAGTAATAAATTTGTTTCTTTTTCTACTAAATTATCATCTACAATGTTGTTTTATCAAGCATACTCGAGGAATAAATCATAAGGCAAGAGGTTAAAGTCCCAATAGACGCACGCTTGAACCTTCTACATCGAAATTCCAAAAAGTCAATTTAACTCGGTAGTTTCAGTGTCAACATCAACAATTCACTCAACACTATCTCAACCAGAGTTCAAATAACCTACTAATTCCCAGTTCAATAAACAGAACTGCGTACGAACTCAATACAACGACCCTCCACTCTCCCGAACAGCGAACCATCTCGAAAAACCACCCTACCAATCCTCGCTAGTAGCGCCAGGTCGGAACCAACCGAAACCGCGGAAACCATGAAACCACAGAGAAAATAGTACAAGAAAAATGCTCGCAGAGCGGAAGAAAACACAAAAGGAACCCAAAAAACAAAACACATCCGACCGTAAAAAGAAGGTGAACCAAAGAACCAAAGAAACATGGAGCCCGAAAAGGGAGAAGACAGGTAAGAGAGGTGTCGGGTAGGCGTGCCGCTTACCGGCGGACGTCCTCGACTTGTTCCTGGGCTTTTGCTGCTGCTGCTGCTGCGCGGACGGCGAACCCGGCGTATTAGCGTGCGCGTGACCGACCAACAACTTCGAGTCGACGTTTACGCCGGCCACGCCGGTCGCGTTCCCGGCCGCCGCCGCCGCCGCCGCAGCCGCGGCCCCGGCGGCGTGGTGTCCGCCGAAGATGCTGGCTACCCCGCCGCCGGCGCCGGCACCGTTGTGCGGGTTGTGCGACGAGGACGACGAGGACGACGAGGTGGCCGCGTGATGATGGTGATGGTGATGGTGGTGGGTGGTACTAGGATACTGCAGGTGCTG